AAACAAACACACAGACACACCAATATAAACACACCCCCACACCGCAGAGATGGGGCAATATGTCATTGAGCTGGGGGGGGGTGGACATTCTGAATCTCTCGGTTAACTCTAACTGAAAGACAGCGCCTGGTGAGCAGCGTGCGCTGTGAAACAATGCAGTGTTTCCGAAACTTCTTAGCGGCCAACAGTGCCCCTTTTCCCCCCTTCCCAATACTCCCTCCCTCCCGGTGTTAACTCCATGCGAAGGGAGGGGAGGGGGGGCGGGGGGACAGTAAGAGTTACCTGAGCCGGGGACCTCGTCTGCCGCTGAGAGGCTCGCCGCTTCTTCGTTTGAACGAACGGCGGAGATGGAACTGGCGGAGGTAGTGGCACAAGCGCATAGCCAGGTTGGCATGCTGTGAGCTGGGCACGGAGGGCCTGTGCCGAGCGGAGCTGCAATCTGCAGAGCCCCTCAATCAGCTCCTATTTCAACCGAGTCCTGGGAGAAATAGCCACACGGCGCAGGCGCACTGCGCAGCCAACCGGCCCCACCAACTTTTTTTTTCCGCTCTTTCACTCTCTGACAGAAAGTTGCAGCAAAGTTCGCAACAGCATCGGGGAGAGCGGCGCTGGGGAGCTGGAGGCTTGGCAGCTGCAAACATACACAGGCAGGGCTTCAGCAACAAAAGGAGCCTGTCTCCCAGCCGGGAAAATAGGAGCTTCACTGTTCAAACAATGTGCAAAGCTCTTTGTAAAAGTAGGGGGCAAGGGAGGGGGGTGGGGTTGCAGGAGGAGGGGAGAAACCGCTTGGATCACCGATCCAATGAAACAGCCAGTAGATTCCGACCTTGCGAATTGCACAAATGATAACCAGGCTATTTTAAGAATCCGCTCAAACCATCTGTTTATTTTTCGCACAAGTGACACGGGGAGACACCCTGACAGATTTGCATCTCTGTTTAAAAGCGATTTTACCATGAAGGAATGAACTTAAAACAGCTTCTTTTGTTGGTAGAGACAGGGCGTTCTAAAGGTTGGGGAGAAATCACTGTTTTTCCTGAAACGCCACCACTTCTGCAACATGGGGTTATTTAAGAAAGTTACAATACACAGAGGAGGGAAATGTAGCATCTTAATGCTCGGCAAAAACACTCGAAACGTCCAAGTAAAACTCACTAAATTGGGCGGAAATATTACTGAACACACCTCTTCTCCGAAAGATTTAGTTATTTTTGCACCCCCCCCAAAAAAAAAGATGGGAACGCATTCAAGCCCCTTCCCCCGAACACAAAGTGTAAATTAAACAAAGCTGGCGCCTTTAAGAAAAGCAGAAAGTGAAGCCCTATAGAATGGATGATAATACAATTTAAACCACACACCATGTCCTATGGGTGCCGGGACTATTCCTACAGGCGCTATGAGATCTTTAATAGTTATTGATGCTTCAACATAATCAGAAAACTGTGTACTGAGCCTTTCAATATGTTTTAGATTCGGTTAAATGTTAGGGTCAAAACAATTGGTGGACGATGGTCCTTGCTTTGAGTTTGACATTTGAGATATCACTATGCTGCATCTCCCGAACACAATTACGATTATCCTGATCCCCGCTCAGTCATTCACAGGCATACTTTCTGTTTTCGTTTGAAATTGCCTTCCTCTAGATTTTTCACTCACTTTCCAATTTCCCACATTTTGTACCTTGATCCTCTTCAAATAACATTTTAAAAAAGGTAACGTCAATAAAATAACGACTTCTAGAAAGTCGCGGACATCTGCATAAATAATTTTGACAGCTCTTTTCTGTGTAAAAGACGACAGCGTGACTGACTCGCAGAAGAGTGCGCCTGTTTTTGTTTATTGCGGAAGATATTAGACTCGCTGCCATTTCCCTCTCCTATCACTTCCCAAACCAAGTTTGCATCCCCGGCCTGGGCTCACAGCTGAGTCAAACCAAACATTTCCGGAATAGTATACGCCAGCTTTGGAACTTGAGATATAAGATTTACACAAGGACATTCAAAATCTTGTACAAATGTATATATGCTTATTTATTCAAAAGTCCCCAGGGAACGGACCTAAACGAAGGAAGGTTATTTTAAACTTCGCTATCTAGGAGAAATGATGAGAAATGCATGTGGCCAGTGAAAAATGGTGTATGTTAGCGCAAAAGGGGCACGTTTGTTTTCACCTTTTTAACTGAGCGGTGTGATTTTTTTTATTCAGGGTCCATGTGAACTACTGTCACATAGAGAACAGCATTTTTATCATTTCGTTCAGTCTCTTTTGGGCACTATATTCAGACACTTATTATACACGATTTTTTTTTAGCAACCACAAAATGATCGTTGCTGAAGCGCGTCCTAATCAGGACCCGCTCGGTTTTGCTGCTGTTTATAGTTAAATTACAAAACACATCAGCCCAAAATTCAGTACATGTTACATAATTAACGTAAATATACAGACGTCACCTCGAGCTGGAACCTTACAGCAATTAGTGACCAATAGCCTCTTAAGTCATTTGTCATTCCTAAGTTGCATTTAAGAGAAATTAAACGGCTACGGTTATATGATGGGTTTTGTTAGTTCTCAGATATTATTACCTAGAGAAAGTTGCCATTCCAAGACGTGGAATGAATTTGTTTTTTTTTCCAAAAATTGCCACCAAAAGGACAATGAGTGAAAGGCCAATTTTTAAAGCAACAGCTCGGAATCCAACGCTTCCATTTAACACCTTTATTTCAAAGATGATAAATACGTATGCCATTATAAATACCTAAATATGCAGATTCTTATGGCCCATCCGTTTCTGTTCAATACCGATTCTACAGACCTTATTTGCACCGCTGTGTCAATATTCGCTAAAACTAATGTATTCAAACCACAAAGCATCTAGTCCAACTATCCACTTCTTAAAAATAATCAGAGCAAGAAACAATAATCTGCATTGACGGTAGTATGGTTGCTGAGGGAATACATGCAATTTTAACATTTCTAGATATCACTGGGCTATTGGGTTTGACGTTTTCAGGCGCATTTTTATAACTTTTCTTTGCTATTCAAGTGACGCTGCTTGCCACTAGTCAATTGCATTCCAATAAGATATCAAACATAGACGGAACTCATTGCGCATTTTGCAGTAGAATTTTTTTTTAAACGATCCCGAAAGATGTATCTCTTGGTGGCTTGTAAAAATAAAAACAGAAGCCATCGACCGACTGCAACCACGAGCAAAACGCGCCACCCTCTGGCCGTTCCAATCAGCCGTGATTCGACATTAACATCTTGTTCGAGTTCCTGAGAAAATGCCTACAACTCGAAAGTTTCAATGTAGAGAACTGCTCGCACGTGATAAACTCCTTCCAACTTTGAACACCATAAATCACGTTTGACCTGTCTAAATAAAACATTGAAATAAAATGTCAATCTTGAAGTTAATCGCACGTCAGACTGGCCAAGTGAGTTTTGACACAATTTTGTGTGAATGAATCTCGTGGTAATATTAGTTGTAATCATACAATTTGTCTGATTTGACTCTGTAAAATGCTTGTTACAGTGTACAGCAAATTCCACGTTTATTGAAATCTTAAAAGATGGCTTTAATTCACTTATTTGTTAAGTTTTTAATTTTGTTTTTTACTGTTACTTTATGCAGAATCACATTGGGTACAATGAAGCCACAGATGTCTTTCTGTTTTGTGCACCCAAAGCCTTATTTGGCACATTCCTTTTCGCTGCAGATGCGAAATGGAAGTTAATTAGTAAACACTTGAATTGGAAAATTAAATCTGATAGTGAGCCCAGCGATTAGCAGTTGAAGAGTGAACTATAGGGCTGGTTATCTCAGGAACTCCGCGGCTGTCCCACAGTTTCTGGATTTCCACGATGGTCTTTATGTGGCAAAGATTCACCCAGCCGCAACAAATACTTGGGCCAATCACAAGACACTTTAAAATGCCTGCATCTGACTATTTGTTCGAAACTCACGCAAGTTTCTAAATTACGTTCAGCGCCGCAATGTCCAAGTAATCATTTCACACATATTTAAGAAACATTCTGAAAATGTGACCCAAACATTTGCAGCGGGGAGCCGAAAGTTGGCG